AAGAGTTAGAACCCTACAGTATGTGTGCCTCAAGTTGACCTCGACAGAGTAGAGGTAGGGCATCCGATTTGGGATCAGAAAGGTGCGGTTTGACTCCCAGCCATTCCCACACGTCGTGGTGTCTCTGAGCAAGACACCTAATCAATACCTGCTCCCTGGGTGCTTACATAGCTGCCCACTGCTCCACCTGGGTGTATCGCATGCATCATGGGTTGAATGCAAAAAAATAATTTTATCATTGTATGAGAACATACAATGATGACAATCCCAGATTTTCCATCATCCATTCATTCATTGTCTATTATCCTCTTCTCCTTTTTGGGTCATGAGAAACTGGTGTCTATCTCCAACAGTCTCTGTGGGAGAGTTGGTCTACATCCTGGATAGGTCGCAAGTCCATATCAGGGACACATAGTGATAAACAAGATAATTATTTCACACTCTCACCCACACCAAGGGACTATTTAGAGTTATCAATCAGTCTAACATGCATGTTTTTAGTCTGTGGAAGAAAACTGGAGTACCTGGAGAAAACCCACGCAGCACAAAGAGAACATGCAAACTCCACCCAGAAAGGAGAGGCAACCATGCAACCTTCTCACAGGGAGATGACGGCTCCAGCTGCTGCCCTGCCTCATATTGTTCTTAATGAAATTACTAGAGTACAGTAATGTTTCTTTATGCACACTTAAATATATTTGTTTAACAGAAATTCTTGGGGGACTCAAAGTACTTTCTCCAATTCTTTGTACAGCTCAGGGAAACTGTAAACGATGAAATTAAAACATTTGGCCAATCAAAAGGTACATGTTATGCTTCAGTGCATTTTCTAGTTTTGTTTGAAACTACATACTGTTTTTGACAAGTGTATTCTTTTTTTCTCTCCTCTGGAAATATTGTAAATTCTCAATTTAAGAAAATGTGCGTGGAGATTCACAGCAGAGCATTTTGGCAGATTTCCATTCTGCCTCGTCTGAAATTGTTTCCGTATACGCGTTGCGGACTGAATTGTGCCCAGGAAAATGAGGGTGGGTGTTGTTCCTCCAGTGTGTATTGTCCAAAGAAGCTCTCTGAACACAACAGGGAGGCTGCAAAAAGTGCCAGAAGGACTGTGGGGGATTATTGTTGTTGCTTCAAATACAGATAGGAATTTTAGGTTGTGTAAGCAACAAATTAAAACCATAGAACTGAGTGTTGAGGGAAAATGTTCAGCTCGTTTGGTGAGACTTTAGCTGATAAAGGTTCCTTGAGAAATATAAATGTTTCTCTTGTTTGGTTTACTGGTAGGAAAGCATAATGTAAAAAATGTATCATTTTTTTAAACATGCTGGACAAAGTAGCATTGTTTGGGCCCATTTTGCTGCATCTGAGCCAGGATTTTGTACCATAATGTATGGATTGAATGCAACAATAAACCTGAATTATACCAGGAAACTGTAATAATTGATTAATGGTTGTTTTATTTTTTTTAATTACTCTTGAATGACGTGTTTTCTTCATGATGTGCAGAACAGATTAGCCTGAAGGGTTTATAAATAATGCACAGTGTTCCTCACTTATTACTTTGGATATTTTGCCTCCTAAATAATTTAACAAAATGGTATATTGATTGACTCAGAAACCGAAATTAAAGTTTCATATTGTCTTGCCCCTCGAGTTTGTTTTGTTTAGTAAACATGTGTAAAAGTAGAACATTTTATTTTAAAGATTGTTCCGTATTTTGGGAGACTTGTTCTAAAACATGCAAGATCTGAAAGGTTCCTAATGGTTTACTGTATTTAAAGTCAGGAAACAAACAAGTAGTGGCTTGAGTAAAGCAGCAGATCAACAAATGCCTGTCTTCTTTTGTGTCTTGTAACAATGTACATCCATCCACCCACAGGTTCACGCTTTGCACTTTGTATTCTGCCAAATTTGCAGGACTGAGTCCTTTGTTTTCTTAAGCTGTCAACAGGATGCAAAATGCTGGCAGCCGGCTGAAGTCTGCACTGTTTCACATCTTCCCTTTCCATGTGTCCTTTCTTCTGTTTCTTCTGTTTGTTTCCCATTCTTCTGAAAAAACAAAAGGCAGGTGAAAAGACAGATGGCAAGGAAAAAAGGAAATATTATAGCAACTAAATGAAAATTGGAAAATATGAAGAAACATATGAATCCAGCAGAGTAACATCAACACTTTACTGTTCTATTATTGTATTTGTTGTGGGTCAGCCAGCCATAAACACTTTAATAATGTCCACACACACAGTGCATATGGCCCCTACAATAAGCCTCTTGATGCTTTGGCCTTGAGGCTGATGAGTGGGCTGCAGAGTATGACAGTTTATAACATCACAATGATGGAGTTGTCATTGAGCCTCTGTGTTTTATGACTTACCTTAATGCTCAGGGTAGAGATTAAGTTCTGGGTTCTCAACTCCAATTTAAGATGCACCTCGTTCTCATATACTGTTCGGCACACTGCTGCATAATGACATGTTTGTGCATTAATGACATGTTTGTGCATGTAGAGTTTACACCAGTTATCATACGTTCACAGACTATTTTGTGTCCAAGATGGTTTATGTCCACAAACACATAAAAGTCAATAAGCATGCAGTCCTGGCCTCGTTCCACTATCCGGTCAAGGCACAAAGGTCTTTGTGGATGGGCCATTGACTTCTGGATCTCATAAAGGTACAATATATAGGGGGAAACATATGTCCCCTGGTCTATTGCAGGCTTAGCACTTTCACTAAGGCTGGTATACCTTGTGAATAAGCTTTTAAACCAGAAAGCAGATGAAGGTTGATTGTTGTGAGGAAGTGGCAGTTAAAAGCTTCTGAACTGGTCTGTCGTTCCTTGTCAAGGATGAGGTTATGTTTTATGTCTGTCCCACCAAAGGTCCTCTTCTCCACTGTTTTCTTCCCATTCTTTGTTCAAACAAGAACTGCACTGTTCTTTCACAGCATTTTTTTCCCAAGGTTCAGTTGGTTTTCATGTCTCTGCATTTGGCAGTCATCAGCCACTTTATTAGATCCACTTCTTCTATTGCTTAATACAAATAGCTAATCAGCCAATCACAAGGCAGAGACTCATTATATTTTTGCATCTATAGGTGGTGAAGTTGACTTTCTGAAGTTTGAACCAAGGATCAGAATAGAGAGTGAAGGGGATCTAAGTAAACTTTGGATGTGGAGTGGTTGTTGGTGCCAGACAGGCTAGTCTGAGTATTTCAAAAAGCAGAATCTACTGGGATTTTCAAGCACAACCATGTTTGATGTTTACTGAGAATAACACACACACACACACACGAAAAATCCAGTAAGTGACAGTTGTGTGGAAGAAAACACCTTATTGTCAGAGATCAGGGGACAGACTGGGTTGAGATGATATAAAGGCAACAATAGGTCAAACAGCAAATAGTCACTTGTTCAAACCAAGGTCTGCAGAATACCATTTCTGAACGTACAAAATGTCCAACCTTGGAGCAAATGGGCTACAGCAGCAGAAGACCACATCAGGTGCCATTCCTGTCAGCTAAGAAGAAACTGCGCGTGCAGTTCACACATGCTCACCCAACTTGAACACTTAAGAGAATGGTAAACATTGGTGGGTCTGAGTCTGGATTCATTGCACTCCAATTGCCTCCAGAGTCACCATATCTCAATCCAATTTTTCCTCACTCGCTCTCGTTTGAGGCGAACGCATTCTCTTCCCTCTCCTGTTCTCCTGTTTTTTTGCTCTGTCTGGGTATCGGAGCTTCTAATTTACACATCTTCTGAAACTAAAATATTGTTATAGATCTGATCAGCTGGACTTTCAACGCAATCAACAAAATATTTTCAACAAAGTGACAGGGTACTGGAGAGCCCTCATGTCCTGCTGAGAATCTCAGGAGGATGCTGAAGACATACACAACTGGATTTATGATAACAGGTTTCCTGCTTTTTGGATTTGGCTGGTTCCTGGTCTCTCAGCATACAAGAAGACAGCTGCAGCTAATTTGGCCCTCATCAGGCTGCCTGTTTTGTGAAGGTTTGGTTTGTGCTTTAAGGACTCAAAATCAGCTGATTTACGAGCTAAACCATAAGATGGAAGTAATTTGTGAGACTTTGGGACTCGCCAGCATGTTGGAAACAACCTTAGAGGGGCTTGTAAGCACGGACCAGTAGAATGCACCCTAATTTGGTCATTTTGGATCTTGAAAGTACCAGCAGTATTCAAGGATGACAAGTAAAAAACATTCTACCTGAAGAAAATCAACAATTGTGGCTTATCTGAATCTGACTCCCTCGGTTGGCCTCGAAAACAGACCGACATATCAATTTCTCCTGGGAAATGTGTAAACTAAAGAAAAGCTTTGTCAATTGCAACCCCCACCCCCCACGAGAACTTCTGTAGAGGCTTATCAGAACTGTGCTGGCTGACCAGCATTTTATCAGGACAATGGACAATCTGGAAGTGCTTCATGGACCACCTTGCCGTCAAATGCATATGTAACATGTTCATAAATGTGCTGCTGGCAGAGTTTTTTGATGTCTTAAATTGTGTCCTGATAGGACAAGGTGTGAAGAGATATGTTTTGTAATACCACTATCCTCTCCTCATGGCTTTTTCCCCTTTTCTAACTGAAAAATTTATTCTGAAAAGGATAAGAGACCGCACTATCATAGCAGCAGCTACGTGCACTTTGCCCATCTTTTGGACGACTGTACGAACATATTCTCACTGTTTCTTGGTACAATGATAATAAAGCTTATTCTGATTCTCCTTCAATTGAGTACTTTTGCGATGTGAAGAAATTAGAAATTTGAAGCATGGATGTGCATCTAAGAAATCTGCAGCGACTTTAAGGTGCTATCAGGACAATAAAAATCAACGCCCAATGGAAGTTTCTTTGTTACCAAAGAATCAGAGAAACCCTGAATAGAAAGGTGTATCTAATACAGTGGCTTGTAAGTGTAAATGTATACAATAATGCTTCATGCTGTGCTGTTGTTTGTTTCTTCTTTTGGTTCCAGGGTACTTTCTGCTGACACCATTTCCACCTTCACAGCGTTCATTCCAGGGGTGCATGCAGGCAGTTCTGGTGGATGATCAACCTGCTGATTTGCATGCAGTGGAGAAAGGCATTGTGGGAGCCTTTGAGAATGTCAGCCTGGACATGTGTGCAATTATAGACAGGTAAAATTGATAACTGCTACAGGTTCACACTTCCACCCCCTGACACATAAAGAAAAGCTATCATAAATCAAGTTAACTGGAGAGTCGTATAGTAAACAAAACTGTTATGTAAAATGTCTTTGAATTCTTATCCTGAGACTTATTACTCAAGATTCTTTTTGTTGTCTGTGCGATCGCAAATGAATTGTGTTTGTGTGTGCCTTGTTTAGTGTGCCTGTCACACTGATAAATGGATATTTATGAGGAGGCCTCATGGTGTAACGGAATATGTATAAATGCAACATTATTTTTATTTTCAACTGGAAACGCGGAGCAACCGCCCCCTCCCCTCACTCCTTTAGAAAACAATCTTGTCTTAATCAGGCATCAAAAATTCGTCACACAGTTTACTATTTCCCTGGCAAGCAGAACTTGGCAAGAGCTGGAGATTCTGCACATGTCCCAGTGCTGGCTCACTGGCAGCATGCATTAAAACTTGTTGACATTTCAATTTATTTCCTTGTCATAAACTAGACAAACATGTTGGGATGAGTTTGCAGTACATGAAATCCTCTACACTTTTAGAAAATTTGAGTTGTTTGTCATGAAACAAAAGCTTTTAAAGGAAAATGTTCATACACTTATACCATGCCTAACCTCATCAACTGAAGGCAGTTCATGTGGGGGTTTGAGGGTGTTCGTTTAGATTTTTTTTATTATATATATATATATATATAAAACATCAATATATCAAGGCAGGCAGAAAAACCTGCTGCTCACTTCAGATCAGTTTCTGCAAAAATCTATCTGGTTCATTGAGGAGTTAAGAACTCAAAATGAGACAACTAATACAATTAGATGCATTTAAATAAATCAATTTATATAATTATCTGCAAGACTGCTTTTATCAGCTGTTTCAAAGGCGAATAGGTGATAATGTTTTTGCCTGTGTGTGTGCATTTCTTAATTTGTATGTTAGCAAAATATTGCATACAGTTGACAAATTGTAAACTAACTCTCTTCATGTACATCTACAATTGATTGTTTTTGAGACATTTACATGCAAAATGGCTGCCACAGCTAAGTGACCTTGAACTTTACAAAACGGCCATAATGCAGTAAATTTTACAGATTTTGACATAAAACACGTAGTACAATACGTAGTACATGTTGTACTATATATTCATTATATTTAATATCGTGATATCAATTTCATAATGTTCAATATTGTGAATATCAATATATATATAAATATATTGTGAATATTCAATATGTGATAATAAATGATATATGATAATAAATTCATGATAATAAATATTATCATGGAATATTATTTCTTGACATTGCATGAATTTGCACAAATCTTTATTTTCAAAGTTTGACCAAATGTGCTACCACATTATTTTGCATCATAAAATCGTAGTCTAAAACTGACAAGAAAGGCAAAGAGCGCTATGCATTCTTTCAAAGAACGCTCACACTTTTATTTTTTTTTGTTTTTATAATCTATGGTTGTCTATTGGACTAAGTAGGTTTGTTGAAATCACCTGCTGAGCTTCTGTTGTTCCATTACGATATGACGTTGTATAAAAATGTTATTTTTCCAGATTGCTGGGTTGTAACATTGCTCCTATCTGCTGGCTGTAGACCACTTTTTTCCCTTTTTATTACACAGTTTTGTGAGCATCCTAAAATTTCCAGGCTCCTTTCCAGGTTGCCATATTGCTCACTTCTGTTACTTCAGATGTTGCGTATCAGCTCTGCAGTACTTGAGGTGGGCCTTGTTCTGCCAGGGAAGATGAATGGATGCAGTGTTACCATCTACCTAATCAGAATGTCTTTGAAGGCGGTTCAATAGCCCTGTCTGACCTCCTTTTGATCAATGCCGTTCCGCTGTGGGATTCTGTTTAGGCTGAGAAGTTGGAAAACACACTCGCACAGATCCTCAGACACAGCTCTATGCAGGCGCTCAGAATAATGCGCATGTGATTTTCCACAATGTGGCCATAACTGTGATACAACACAAGCAATGGGACATAAAACCATACACACCCTACATGTGCTGCAATCTCTCCATAGATTTTCTTTCTTCTTGTACAAAGCCCTTAGCTGTTTGTATGGTTCAGTGCCCCCAGCTTGCTAAGAATAATGTCTGGAGATTGTCGGGCCTTGTCAATTGCAACCCATTGTGAGAGCACAATGACATTTTATCTAGACTTCTTAGCCTGCTGAAGTTGTTCCGTATTGTGTAAAGCAGGGACGATGTGGTTGTTTACAGCAGCTTATAGACAGTTTCGTACATACCATGAAAAATGATCAGTTTTATTTTAGATTCATCACTAAAGGACAAGTCTCCATAGTGATAATCTTGTATGGCCACAAAGCTGAATGCCTCCATACTATATGACTTCCTCATTCCCAACACGGCTGCAGAAGTTAGTATTTTCAAAGGAACCCTGCAGCTCTTACGAGTCGGTGTTTGTTTTTCTTCCAACTGACTTCCCTCACCCACGTTACTTTGATTCATTTCAAAAGCAAACTTAGGTTTTCTAATTGCATAACTTGTGCATGAGCCTGTGGATTCGTTCAAGTTAATAAAACGACATAACCTTCACATGAGTTCAGCATTCTTTAATGGAATGCATATCCCTAGCCTCCGTTGTTGTCAGAGTTTTAAATCAAGATCATTTCATAATGAGAAGGGACAGAGTAAATTAAATTCATCATCTCATACAGTACTGTGAGATTTTGCAAAAGCTGTTAGCGCTGACATTGTGTCAAGTATAATACTCATCGACTACCAAATCAAGTTTATCTTTAGAAAAGACTGAATTAAGCCCAATCTTGTCAATTGTAAATGAACTGTATTTATATAGCGCCCAATTTGTGCCCTCATTTACCCATATATATATATATATATATATATATATATATATATATATATATATACATATTAATAAAAAAAATCCTAATATTAGATTGCACCAAATTTAGTATACATGATAAAAAGATTAAAAGAATAAAGAATAAAATCTGCCAAGTGGTTCAGGAGATAGCTTGCAAACTAACCAACTTGGTTGATTTAATTAAGGGTGACTTGCAGCTTTCCTAATTTGAATGTACTCAATAAAATTATGTTTTAATTGTATCTTTTTTTCTTCTTCTTAAATTTCTGGTCATCCACATTTGAATCGGTTTAATTTGAGCTCTTAAACTCTGTAGCATCTGTACATTCTGTACGCAGAATCAGTGAAACAATTAGACACTGAATTAAGTAACATATATTCATCATTTCTTATAAGAATATTGATGCTCCTGCAGGTCAATCCAACACGGCTTTACAAATAATTTTACACTAAACCTCAGTGTACATTCAACAAAACCAGTGCCAGATTATTTTTTTTCAAGCAGATATTTTATTTTTGCACTCATTTATACTGCACCCACACACATTCGAGTTGTGCAGTGTTCTGATCCAGCGTTTCACACAAAGTAAATGATACTTTTACAATTTATTTGTGTCTAACATATCACGTACATGTCTGTGGCCTTTTAACATTTGCCTTGTTTTTGTCTGTGATAACATTTTACAACTTACAGCCATATAAAGATAGTTAATTTTAACTTACAATCAGACAAATTGGACTTCTGCAGCCTGGTAGTATCATTTTTGTTGCTGCTGTTGGTTTATTTCTCACATATGCTAAAAAAAAACAATTATTTCTGAGATAACGTGCCCCCTGTGGATGTTTCTGAGTCCTGTCTTCTCTCCAGGTGTATGCCCAATCATTGTGAGCATGGGGGTCACTGTAAACAGACGTGGGACAGTTTCAGTTGCTCCTGTGAAGGAACGGGATACAACGGAGCCACCTGCCACACTTGTGAGTATGTGAATGCAAAATAAATCATTTGTTTTACTTGTCTCCTTTTGCTTTTCTTTCTCACCCCGTCTGCGTGGTTAGAATGTGTTCCTCGTGTGCATGCTTACGACTTGGCTTTGCTCCATTTGACTTTCAAAGATTAAGCCGCTTTGCAATTCTCAGCACAGAGGCAGATGAACTTTTGAAGTGCTCCAATGCCAAAAGAGTCCAACTGCACCGTGTTTTGTTCTCTTCAGGGGAAAAAGAAGAAGAATCAGACTTGCAAAGCACCAGCACACAGAACCAGAGCGTTCTTCAGGCTTAAAATTTAGAAAATGTCATTCTTCATGAAACACAAGCTCCAATTTAAAAAAAAAAAATCCTATTATTAGATTGCACCAAATTTAGTATAAATTCTAAAAAGATTATCAAAACATACATATACAGTTTATTTTGTTCATTTTTTGCAATCGAACTTCAAATTGACAATTGATTTGAGCTGTTTTAACCATTAATCCATAAAAAGGTTTGAATGGGAAGCATGCTTTATGATTTTTGGTATTCATAACTTTTATACTTTATGAATTCTTTAACTTTGTTTTTAAGCTTAATGCTATATTATTATGCTACTTTTAGCTACTTTGTTGTTCTTGCTCATTTTAGTGTTTATTTACAGTTTGGGTATTTTTTTTCCTATAGCTACATTTTTGTTATTTAGGGTTTGTTCATGTTATGTGGGATGTTGATGTGGAAGTGGGAGTGCATCAAGGATCAGCTCTGAGCCCCTTCTTGTTTGCTCTAGTGATGGACCCACTAACAGATGAGATCAGTCAGGAATCCCCGTGGACGATGATGTTTGCAGATGACATTGTGTTCTGTGGTGAGAACAGGGAACAGGTGGAAGAGAACTTGGAGAGGTGGAGGTATGCACTTGAAAGAAGAGGAATGAAAGTCAGTCGTAGTAAGACAGAGTCCATGTGTGTGAATGAGAGGGAGGAGGTGGAACAGTGAGGCTACAAGGAGCAGAGGTCACAAAGGTGGAGGACTTCAAAGACTTGGGGTCCACTGTCCAGGAACATGGGGAGTGTGGTGAAGCGGTGAAGAAGAGAGTCCAGGCAGGATGGAGTGGATGGAGGAACGTTTCAGCAAAGGTCAAAGGAAAAAGTTTACAAGACAGTGGTGAGACCAGCTATGTTGTATGGTCTGGAGACGGAGACATGGACAAAAAGACAGGAGACAGAACTGGAAGTGGCAGAAATGGATATATTGTCAGAGGTACAGCACAGGTTGAACAACTGGGAGATAATGTTAGAGGCCAGACTGAGATGGTTTGGACATGTCCACAGGAGGGACAGTGATTTAGACATGTCCAGAGGAGGGACAGTGGTTTGGACATGTCCAGAGGAGGGACAGTGGGCATATTGACAGAAGGATGTTGGAAATGCAGCTGCCAGGAAAAAGACAAAGAGGAGAGATATGGATGCAGTTAGAGAGGACATGAAGGTAGTTGGAGTGAGGACAGAGGACAGAGAGAGATGGAGGATGACTCGCTGTGGAGACCACTGAAGAGGGAAAATCCAAAAGAAGAAGAAGAAGATCGTTTTGTTCATTTAAACGTGCTATGGATTTAGCTTATTTCAAATGTTTTGCTAATGTGCGCTTGTAGATATGGCTTGGTTAATTTTAGCTTTCAGCCACTGTTTTGCTGATTCTGCGCTGCTTGTTTTTATTTAACCATACCACTTTATTTATAAAAGCACTTAAAACAGCAGTAAGGTCAACCAAAAAACGTGAGTAAATTATTCTTCCACAACTTTGAGCAAAGTAAGAGAGCACTGAGCATTCACGCTGCATTTTTACAAACAGCTTTTTCTCTAGTAAAATACTTCAGCTCTGACTTTATTCAGCTTTAAAGTGCCAAAATGCAACACGTGAAGTTATGTTCAAGAAAAGAAAGCCTGTTATTGGACATTGGAATCAACTTTTTGATGGTAACTGTTGCGTATCCACTATAAAGTGAAAAAATAAAAAATAAAAGTTAGTGAACAATGGGGTTTTTTTTCTTTAAACTATATGAAGCACTGATTTATTACGTCCCACTCAAAGCAGAATGGGTTGTCTGGTTTGAGATTACAAAGTTATTTACAAAATCTGACGCCCAGCCAGTAACGTGGGTTTGGAGAACGGATGAGTAATCCTCTTCCCTTCCCTCAAAGCAGCTACTCAGGCATGGGACTGTGAGCAGCGGCCCCGATGGAGCTGGTTCTGGGCCAGTAGATGGCTGTGGGTGTTTCATCTGCAGCTGGGAAACAGATATTGTATTAAAATGTCATGTATTTAGAGCTGTCCAGCATAAAGAGCGAAGACAATAATAGAACAAAAAACTGATTCATAATTATAGTTAGTCAGGAAATGGTGTTATTTAAAGGTTGGATGGAAATTTAGGAAGAGTTTAGAGCTCCTTCATTAAGTAAAGCGATAGTGTGGTACTTGCTTAAGCTTTTAGGAGGTCAGCTGATAAAATCCATCCATTATCTTTACCCGCTTCTTCCATTTTGGGTCACGGGGGTCGCCGGTGCCCATGTCCAGCAATCACTGTGCGAGAGGCGGGGTACACCCTGGACGGGTCGCAAGTCCATCACAGGGACACATGGAGACAAACGAGACAAACAACCATTCACTCTCTCACTCACACCTAGGGACAATTTAGAATTACCAATCAGCCTAACATGCATGTTTTTGGTCTGTGGGAGGAAACCGGAGCACCCGGAGAAAACCCACGCATGCACGGAGAGAACATGCAAACTCCACCCAGAAAGGCCCCTGGACCGGGGTTTGAACCAGGGACCTGCTCGCTGAGAGGCAGCAGCTCTACCAGTTGCGCCACCGTGCTGCCCAGCTGATAAAATATGTTTTTTATTCTCTCTGTATGCAAACCATATTTACAAATGGTTTGTTCATTGATGTGATTTTTATGTGTTATCTGTAATCAAGTCAAGGATCTAAAGTTATTTGACCTGAACAAAGTCATTTCTGTGGAAAAAAAAAAAGAAGAGCTTTATGTATTCTCAGATCTGACAGACCTTAGGTTATGAGACAATAGATGTATATTTATTTAAAATATTTGCTTTCATTTGTAAGTGTTTAAACCCTCGGATTAGACGACAACAACCTTAAAAAGTTGGTTGATCTTTAAGAAATAGCTCAGCACGACCACTTCTGGTCATCTCTGCAAGAAATCTCCTGGATGAACAGAGCAATTTTACAGACGAAATCATCAATTTTCTTCTAGTCAGGAAGGAAAATGAAACTGTTAAGAACAACGAAAGTGAAAAGACAGACGGTGCACATTAATAGAGACAATAATAAAGACATCCTAAGCAAACAAAATGGAGTTTCTAAACTCTCATTCCTTTTTAAATTAAATTCTTCTTTAAATCCTGTTTAGGTTTTTCTTTGTATAGATCAGCTCAAAGCTGGCATTATTATGGTGGTTATTAATAAGTTAGTCCAGACACTACTTCTTAACAAACACTAGATGATGGAAATTCCTCCAACCGATGAGAGACAGGATTGGCAGGTGGGGGTGGCTGCTGCGTTCAACCATCCATTCATCGGTTTTCTGCCAGATATCTGGTTGAGTTCGGGTGTCAACAGGTCAAGAAGGGAAACCAAGATGCCCTCCTCTCTCCAGTGACCCTCTCTAGCTGATTCAGGTGGATCCCAGGCAAGAAAAGATACGTAATCATTCCAGTAAATTCTTGGTCTTCCCAAGAATCTTACCTTAGTGGGACCTCCACAGAGAAGCACCCAGGAGGCATCCTAATCTGATGCCTGAACCACCTCCGCTGACTCCTTTTCCTGTGGAGGAACAGTGGCTCTACTCCAAGCTTCCCCTGAATGATGGAACTACTCGCCTTATCTTTAAGGCTTACCTGGCCGCCCCACAGAAGAAGGCGATGTCTGCCACTTGTCTCCTGGATCTTGTTCTTTCTATCCTGATCCGTACCTCATGAATGGAGACGAGGGTTGGAATGAAGATGGACCAGTAAGTCTAAAGCTTTACTTTTCAGCTCAGCTCCTTCTTCGCAGCAGACCAGAGACTTTTTTTAGAGGAGCTGATTCTCGTCCCAGTCACCTCACACTCAACTGAGAACCACCCCAGAACACGCTGATCATGATTAAATATGCAACACCACATCATCTGCAAAAAGCACGCCCTCCTCTCCACTATTAACAACTGCATTTGAATATTTTTAACAGTGTTCCTCAACAGGACATACTCTGGGAGTGTTAAAATAAGACTTATATCATAGAGGTAAATAATTTAGGCATCACTCTGCTGTAGAACCTTATTACTGACATGCTGTCTTGGTTTTTATTGCGAACCTTTGGATCTAATATTTGACGTTTTCTCTTTTTTGCTTTGCTGCAGCCAACTATGAGCCCTCATGTGAGGCCTATAAGCATTTGGGTCGGTCTTCTGACACCTACTGGATTGACCCCGACAGCAGTGGACCTCTCGGCCCCTTCAGAGTGAACTGTAAGATGACAGGTGGGCGCTGAAGTGTCTCTTATCACTGCTCTGTCTTTCTGTAAGTCTGCATGTATCTCTCTACCTTCCTTACTCTCCCTGGCCCTGGTGACCTGCAAAGAAGGAAAACTCCACAGCCCTTCTCTTTCTTAACCTCAAACAGCACCATGCTTAACCTGCTACCTGGGGGTTTCCATGGCAACGCACACAGTTAATAGCTTTTAAGGAGCAGCCGGTGCAGACGCTTGGAGAAACACACCAACACAGACAGCAGAAACATATACGAAATGAAGCTGTTGTGTGAATCTAAAAGTGCTTCCAATGACCCTCTTAGCAAATGGCAACCCACTTGCACACTTATAGACACACACATGAACGCACACACACTGGAGTAAGTAGATGGTGTGGAACAGCAGAGCATGCAGGCGGAGCAGAGGCAACACTTTTTGATGAAATGCCACCGCACCCCACTGGCTAGCCCTTAGTCACGCTGAATAGCACACTCACACACACCTTGGAAATGTGGACTTGTTGAGGTTTTCTTTTTCTCACACACATACACACCTCAGAGACCTGCAGTACGGACTCGTACATTCCTTGCAAATGAGCAGCACAGTGCCTGAGTGGCTGGTCCATACCTTGGCAACTCACAAGTGTCTATTTACCTCTCAGAACTCCAAGCGATTGCTTTGATCACAAAGACAACACATGATTTCCATGACAGCTGAGCTGCTGTGCTCATGTAAATTAACCGTGTTTACCATCTGTAATTTATAGACTTTTAAATTAAGCATTGAGCACCAGGTTGGGATGTTGGTTTCTCTTCAAATGCCATAGCTTATGCGTTTATTCTGTTTCTCCATTTGCGTTTTTGTAGAAGACGAAGTGTGGATGACAGTTGTGAACAACCTGCCACCCAGAACTTTAATCACCGGCTCTAGCAAAGAGAAGCGCACCGTCCTGCAGGTCAACTACAGCGCCTCCATGGACCAGGTATATTTTATACACCTGCACTTGTTTTGCCACATAAAACATTTGGCTAACACTATACACTAAGGTACACAAAATTTGCTTAACTACTAAGGAACTACTAAGGAACTACTAAGAAATGAATCAGGAACAAATCAGAAGCTAATGGGTAGTTAACCAGTACTTACTGGGGAACACACAGCCAAGCCTTATTAGGGGACTACTGGTTTGTTACCACATAAACAGAGGAGAAATTCTCCATGTTGGTTCTGAATAAACCCTGCACCAGTGAGGTCATAGCTCCTAATTGTCATAAACCTGTTTCTTAGTGATTACTGATTTTATTGGATTTTCTCTTTTGTAGACCTATTGATGAAATAATGTTGTACTGGTGTCATCTTAACCATGTCTGATTATCACTTACTGAGTACCAAATCATTGCCTGGCTATTAGTTTGTTCACTGATGTAGTGAAGCATCATACCAAGTACTTATTGAGTAATTAATCATTACTTAATCACAACCTGTCCATTAACTACTGGTTTGTTCCAGTGGTAACAAACCAGTAATCCCCTAATAAGGCTTAGCTGTGTGTTCTACAGTAACTACTGGTTAACTATCCATTAGCTCCTGATTAATTTCTCTTTGGTTTCCTTGGTAACTACCCATTAGTTTTTGATTAGGTCCTCTTCATTTACAAGGTAACTAACCAGTACTCCCCTAATAAGGCTTGGCTGTATACCCCAGTAAGTACTGGTTAACTACCCATTAGCTCCTCATTTGTTCCTGATTCGTCCCTGAAGTGTTCCCTAGTAGTTAATCAAATTTTGTGTACCTTATTGTAAACTGTTACCAACATTTGAATTGATTCAGGTTGACATCTTAGTCAAAGTTAAGTTAAAAATTACTGTTTGTTAAAATTCATGAACTGTGATGTCATATGGGTAAAAAAAGGTGTAGATTTTATTTTTCTATCTGTCATTTTCTGCTTTATCCAGCTTATTATTATATTTGTGTCTTAGAATGAAAATGAAGAAGGGTGTTTTTAATTTTGTGTAACGTAGAATAGAAAGTTACCAAATATAGTTATACTAAACTATATTATATCATAATTTTTAGCTTTTAAATGATTAAATACTTAATTCTTTTAACTAATACTATGTAGTTTCTGACTGTAGCTCCATTTTCTCAGTGGTGCTGCCTGCTAGGCTGAACAAACGTCTTTGTCTCTCAGGCTCCAGAAATAGTCTTGGATTCCTACATTTAACCCAAAGTGGACAATGCAGCCACAACTTATAAATATTTAACAACTGTGTACACAAAATAAAAGATGTCAGTTATATAACCCTGAACGTGCTTGCTATCTATACCTTTGTTACTTATTCACGTCTGAGCTTTGTTATATACGCACAAGCGTTATCTGTCAGGATCGTTTAAGTCACTCGATTAAGAATTAGTTTTGTGCTTTGAAAGAAATAACAAAATCAAACTGCTGAATGTCTTCAGTGCTTTTGTACTTTGCACCTTTTACCGTTGTGATGCTTTTTTCACCTGCAGACTTCAAAGGAAGTAGATGAGAATACGATGCTACATAACTAAAAGAACAATGCCATATTTATCATAGAAAGACCTTCATTGTTATCTTTCAAAACCTTTTAAATTCAAGAGATAAAAAATGCAAAGAGCTTAATGTATTCAACCTTCAGTAATCAGCAGAGCAGGGGAGAATGTGCACTGATCCATATTGAGCCT